ATGCTTTCAGATTCGTTTCTAATTTGGATATTATGCGAACTTCCCAAGAAAATTTTTAATAGATAGCCAAAACTTCCGAAATAGCAAACATGAACAATAAGTAATAATACTCGTTACCATAGCAGCAGTGTTATAAAACTCGTAACAAAGATACATTATCATGCAAAGATCATGGAGACTCTTCAAGCAGCGCTTCGATGTCTGCAGTCATACTCATAGGTGACGTTGTGGGAGCAAATCTAAAACAAAAATTAGACCGAATACAGATTATGCGCAGAAAAACTTATAAAACCAGATCTTGACATTTTTTGCGCTTACAACTGCTCACCTTTTCATTACATGTCCTTTGCGGCTGACCAAAAATTTAGTGAAGTTCCATTTGATTGCATCAATCAGTGTACCCCCGCGTTCTGTCTTCAGAAATGTCCAAAAGGGATCAGCATTAGCTCCATTCACATCAATCTACAAATTGAAGTCTTTAAAGTGAAAAATTACGTGTCTTCGGTTTACCTTTGCATAGAGGTCCGGCTCGTAATCGAATGTCTCCTTGACAAACTTCATGATATCAACCTCACACGATGGCTCCTGAATATAATTTCCCATATGTGTACAAATTAGGTCAAGCTTTTCAATTAAAGAGAAGGCCATGAGTTTCATCAGCAACTGTATTCTCTGAACTATTGTGCATAGCATCAACTGCGACTTGCAAAGCAATTACTGTAGTAATTTTTACGTTGATTTCCTTAATTATGTTCGTTGTGAAGAAAATTCATGCAGAGCACCATGCCATCGACCAGCAAAGACAAACTGAACTGTTCCGTATTCCGCATTTCTGTGCTAAGAGATTTTTAATTCATAGATGGCTAAAATCAGCTTTTGAATGTTTTGAGTTAAGAGTGACGAAGGAGGAGGGGGGGAGGGGAGGGACAAAGGCATTTCAAATATGAAAGGCATATTTAGTCCAAACGACTTGCCACCTAAAATGACTGAAATAACTTCAGTAAATTACTGAATTTTTAGCGTAAAAATTTGTAAGGAAAAATTCTAATCTGCCGAAAGGAGCAGAGCTGACTCTGTTCCGCCAAGCCCTTTTTTCGCTGGTTCTACTCTCCTTTTCTTAAGGCAATTTTTTTTACATCACGTTCCACGAATATATTGGAAGAAAGCACGGGTCGAGTGGAAAGTGAAGGTTTGCATTGTGTGCGCTGACTAAGCTCTAATTTCTGATAATATGCCATGGACAGATGCTAAAATGTGTTTTCTAACAAAAAAAGTGATGAGTGGGTTTATGCAAATTTTTGCACACTCACCTGTCCGCCAAACTGATTGCAAGGGAATGCAGCAATCCGTAGCCCCTGATCGTAATACTTATCCTGTAACTTCTTCAACTCGGTGTAGTGATTGTTTGTAAAGCCACACTTTGACGCTACATTAACTACAATGACCACCTGTCCTCTAAAAAAATGGAGATTCTACAAACAGATACGACAGTCTGAACTGACACATACTTGTATTTGCTTAACGAAACTTCTTTCCCATCGGCATCCTTAACAGTAAAGTCATAGATCGTTTTGTGAGCTGACATTGCATCGTCATCATTACTGAAACGAAGTACACATAATGTCTAGTTGGATTTTTCCTTGCAGAAAGATCATATGAAGCTTTATGAGCTTATGGCATTTTACTTTGACTCCTTTCCTACTTTTCCTCCCATTTTGGTTCT